AACTCTTCAGGCTGGGCGCTGTCTCTTACTATGTGGCTTTGTTTGTTTGTTTGTTTTTTTACAGCAATGGCATGGTGAGGCCCTAATCTCACCTGAAACCTCTAGGCTGTACTGTAGTACAATAAAATAATTTACAGCAGCATAGAAAATGCACTGAAATCCATGTCATCTGCATGTCTGTCATAATACTTGTGCTCAATTAACGCCACCAACTGGAGAGCTGCAATGGAAGTGAAAGAGTCAGAATGTTCTGCAACCTGTTTCTACACGGTTTTGGATTTAGCGTCTGGTAGCACACATGCAGCCCTGGCTAACTAAAGGCAAATGTACACACAAGGAATGCAGCTCTTCCAAGGTGAATTTATGTAATTATAAAAGTAGTTGGACATAAGAATAATCACGGGCAGTTCCAGATGAAGGGCCCTGTGCTTCCCAGCACATCAAGAGGCGCAAGTGAAAGTCAAAAAAGGCCGAAATGAATGCCCCAGTCCTGCAAAGCACGTGTGTACATTGAAGTCAATGGAATACCTCATCTAAGGGAGATGAAGAAAAGCCCTTAACATATTGCTGTCATCCCAGGGTGCATCCTTTTATAATTAGCAGCTCATCAATTTCATGTTGGTGTGATGACATATAAAATAGGTGGTTCATGCAGACATTAATGAACAAGGCCAGATTCTCAACTGGTGCAAACTGATGTAGCGGCTGTAACTTCAATGGAGCTGTGCTGATTTGTCCCACGTGAGGATCCAGCCCATAATATTAAATGACTTTATGAATCACTACTTTTCCATCCCACAACACTCACATTCAACAGCACCATAAAGACACCGTAAAACATATTTAAATACATTAAAAATCAAAGATCAGTCTCCAAAAGTTCCAGAAAGCAAAATCAACTGGGGCAGAGGAGGGTGCAGACCCACAAAAGGAAAAAAGCAGTGGAGGGTGGGGAAAGGGGAAGAAGAGGTAATTGAATATGGAGCCTATAATGGTCATATTTTGCTAGATAAATTAATCACTTTCTGCTTTGTTGTGACCCAGAGCCTGGGAGGCTGTTAATATGCAGTCAGAAGCTCAAAGGCAGCTGCTAAGCATAGCAAGTGCGTCATTTAATAAGTGGAGCAACAGTGTTGCTCAATTTAGGGGTACCTCCCTCTGCTTTTTCAAAAGCCCATGAGAGTTTGCACTGGGAGGACTTCAAACACTCATGCATGATGTTTCCTCGCCTGTTGTTCCAGCAACAGCGGGCTGCACCTCCCCAAAGCAGCTGTGTAAGCGCAAAGGTAGTCCAGACAGGGGCTTGTCATTTCCCAGCCATTTCATTTCTAATCCCCTCTAGTTTCCTCCCAGCCACTTCAGAGACAGCCTAGGCTGAAGTCATCTTCTGGAATAGTGTGGAGAGGAGTTGTCCATGAACAATTCAGTCTGCTGTTGGTGTGGTTCCGCAGTAACCCTGGCTACCAGAATGGGAGCCTACCTCCTTCCTCCAGTGACCTGGTCATAGATGTGACTAGGTTTTTCTGATTCAGCTGGTCTCCCCTTGTCTAATAATAATAATAATATAGGAATGGCTGCACCAGGCATTTACTTAATACCTTCCATCCAAAGATCAGAGAGGTTGGTAAGTATCTGTGACGGGCTGGATCACAGAAACTCCCTTGGGGCTGCCAACTGATGTGCCAAGACTACTTCTGCCCCTGATTTCCTGCCCTGGCAACTTAGGACTTCAGTGCCCTGCCTGGTTTGAGCCAGACCCGCTAGCCTGCTGCAAACCCAGCCCCAGGTCTGAACCACGTCCCCTAACAGCTGTAGGCTTAACTGAAAGCAACTTACAGAAGTGTTCCTGTCTTTAACACTCAGATGTCCAACTCCCAATGGGGTCCAAACCCCAAATAAATCCATTTTGCTCTGTATAAAGCTTATACAGGGTAAACTCATAAATTGTTCACCCTCTATAACACTGATAGAGAGATATGCACAGCTGTTTGCCTCCCTCCCCCAGGTATTAATACATACTCTGGGTTAATTAAGAAGTAAAAAGTGATTTTATTAAATACAGAAAGTAGGATCTAAGTGGTTCCAAGTAGTAACAGACAGAACAAAGTGAATTACCAAGTAAAATAAAATAGAACACGCAAGTCTATGTTTAAGAAACTGAATACAGATAAAAACCTCACCCAGTAAGCTTCCTTTTACAGACTAGTCTCCTTCTAGTCTGGGTCCAGCAATCACTCACACCCCCTATGGTTACTGTCCTTTGTTCTAGTTTCTTTCAGGTATCCTTGGAGGTGGAGAGGCTATCTCTTTAGCCAGCTGAAGACAAAATGCAGGGGTCTCCCACAGGCTTAAATAGACTTTCTCTTGTGGGAGGAGACCCCCTCCTCTCTCCTATGCAAAGTCCAGCTCCAAGATGGAGTTTTGGAGTCACATGGGCAAGTCACATGTCCAGGGCTGGCGCAACCCATTAGGCGACCTAGGCGGTCGCCTAGGGCACTACAATTGGGGGGGCGGCGACCGCGGCGGTATTTTGGTGGCGGGACCTTCCGCCGCCTCTGTGGAGGGCGGCATTTCGGGGCAGGACCTTCCGCCGCCTAGGGTGGCAGAAAAGCTGGTAGCGCTCCTGCACATGTCCATGCATGACTGAGTTTCTTACCAGCCAAGCCACATACCTGGGAAAACTCTGATGTGGATTGGCATCTTCGAGTTCATTGTTGGCTTAAGTGGTTCTTGATTGGGCATTTAATTTGCACTTTCTCAATAGAAATCAAGCAAGTATACAGCCAATATTCCTAACTTTAAGTACAAAAATGATACATGTGTACGAATAGGATTAATAGATTCAGTAGATCATAACAGAGATATGTTACATGGCATATGTAGCATAAAACATATTCTAGTTATGTCATATATACCTTCATAAGCATATTCCATAAAGCCTTACGGGGGGCACCGTTACAGTATCTCACTGGTAGGGAAACTGAGGCACAGAAAGGTGAAGTAACTCACCCAAGGTTGTCCAGTGAATCTCTAGTAGAGTCAGGAATAGAAACCAGGAGTTCTGGCACCAAGTCCTTTATATTAGCCACAAAACCACCTTTCCTTTATATTTACCTACAGTGTTTCCTCCTCTTTATCGCTGTCCCAGTCTCTCCTGTCGCTTTTTATTCTCTGCCACTGTCTCTCTTTCTCTGCCTGACACCTGGTCTTTCTTTCCCCTCCTTCACTGGTCCCCTCCCACTGCAGTCCTTTGCCAGCCCTGCAATTCTCTCTCTGCTCTGTCTCCTTGCCCAAATCTCTGCATCCTAGATCCTGTTTCCCCACTCATCTCCATCTACCATTGTTCCCTCCTCAGGTCTTAATTCTCTTTACCACATATGCATATGGAACTCCCGTCAGCCCTCCCTATGATGAGCAAAGGGGGTGATGAGAGTGTGTGGGGCAACCAGTGCCTACTGTCTCCTTCTCCCCCATCTATAACTCACTATGATAGTAAGCTGGGAGAAGGGGATGGAGGAAGAGGAAGCAACTTTAGTTGCCAACTCAACCCAAGTAGCCCATTGTCGGTGGGAGGAGAAGCTACAGGGGAAATCTTGCTCACACCAGACAGCCCTGCTAAAGAGGGACACTTCGGGTGAGACGAGTTTTCAGGATGAAATTCCTGAGATCTGGAGAAGAGGACAGGGGTCCTGCGATCTGTCAAGGACTCCAGTGACTGTCCTGCAGTCATGTCATCAGGCATTCTACCCCTGACCAGGTTAGGTAGAGCTACCATTGCTTTGTGCTATATTCATACAGTGCTATTAAAGCAATGGCCTAAAATATTAGGGTGAAATACACCCCAGGTCTCATACACTGAGCTCCACTTACATTAGATTCCATTCTGAGGGAGCGGGCCTGTCTTTTGGGGCGGATGAAAGGTGCTGCAAACATAAGCATCAGAAAGGAGTGCTAGACAAAAGGTGAAAATAGCAGACTTCTTGTATAAAGTAATGGCAATTCTCCAGAACACCTCTGGCTTGACTTTGATGGAATGAGACAGAACCCCTGGTGGGATAACTTAAGGGATTGCATCTCCGCCACCAGGAAGAAATTAACACAACAGGAAGAGGGTGAAATCCTGGGCCCAGAAAAATTAATGGCAAGATTTCCATTGACTTCACTGGGATCAGGATTTCACCTCAGAAAGGGGAGTCAACAGTACATATATATTCTCAGTGACAGAGGCTGATTAAATATATCTGGTGCATTGCTGGTCTATCAAGCATTGACTAAACAGTGCCTTTTAAATGTAAGCTGTGGGTAAACTTAACCACTAAAATCAAACAGACCCTTCACCCACCAATTAAGGCAAATTTTCCCACTTATATCTAAGGTAAACAAAGGAAGCCACAATATTAAAAAACAACTAAATTCTTGATATTATATTAACTGATCGATTGAAGCCTAGACATTCATTTTAAATGTTTTTATATAAGATTGAGAAACACCCTCAAACTTTATTGCATTAAGAACATAGTTCTCAATCTGATGCAAGCCGCATTCCATCCAACGTTATTTTCCAGCCAGTTAGGAGCCCCTCTGGATTTCAAAGCGCACTGAGCTCCGGCAGAGCCTTTAAAAAGCCATAAGACACTGATCCTGCAGTGAACTCCATTTGAGCAGACCCCTGTCCCCAAACCCCCCTGTGCCCCATTGAAGTCTATAGGGCTCGGCAGTCCTGCCACTTGCAGCTCATTGCAGGATCAGACTGGCCTTACACCACATTTCAATTAACCTTCATACAAGGGGTGTGTGCATGTGGGTGTGCGATTTGATTGTGTCACCCTCTGGATTTGTCAGATATCAGGAGCTGCTGTAAAAGGCACCTGTTTCCCCAGGCTTGTCATACCTAGGTTAATATACGGTGCCCGTCACCATGGTCTCTGAGTGCATTTCAGAGGGTTCCGTGGTGGGGTGGGTGCCTGAGGAGGGAGTATTGTTGTTATTATTTCTATTCCCCTAGCACCCAAGGGCCAGTCTGGGAGCTCCGCAGGGGCAGGTTTGCTCAGGCTTGGGCAGGCTGGGGGCTGGATGGCTGAGCCGCTCCCCTCCTGCCCAGAGGAGAGAAGGACGCCAGAAGGGAAACCAACCAAGCAGCTTTCCCAACTCCGGCCCGCCTGCTCCAAACCGGCTCAGCCCTTCCCAGCATCGCTCCCTTCCGCCGACTTTCCCCCGGTCCCTTAGTGGTCTTCCAGCCCGGCTCAGCACTTTGCTCACACTCCCTTGCGCTGCGATGTGCGTCCCCCTCGCTGCTGTGTGCGCGGTGCAAGCGGCTGGCGGCCCCAGTTCCACTCTGGCCGAGGCGAAGGTAAGCGGCGCGCCCAGGCTCTGGGCTCGGGCACCCAGCGGCAAGTTCGAGCCCCCTGGGCACCGACCGAGCAGCGGGCTTGCTTGCTTGCAGCAGCCGGCGGTTGACTCGGGCGAGTTTCTGGAGGAGAGGGAGCGCCCAGCATGTGCGCTTTGCTGAATGGGACCCAGAGCTGCGGCGAGGGTGAGAGGGATTTTCTGGGTCTAAAGGGAATCACGAGGGCTGCAGATCTCCGCTGCGCTGGTGCGGGGCGTACAGGGATTTGGGCACAACGGTTCGGAGGGTAGCGGGACAAACAAAGTCCGCCCGACTGTAATTGACCATGCTCCGCTTGGGAGAGGTGGGATCGATCCATTCTTCTGCGGTTAGCCGAGAACGTGTCTACCTGTTGTAACGTGGCATAGGGTGGGTCAAACAAGGGATGCGGGGAGTGAGCCAAAGGAAGGATTTCGTTCTCTAATCAATCCTGGAGTTGTGTAGAGTAATTTCTGAAGAACCCTATTCAATGTCTGTTGGTTTAATCCTTGTTACATTCAATAGGACCTTTCCCCTCTAAAGGTACAACGTGTAGTGCATATAAGTCTGCTTCTTAACTTTAAGGTGTTGGTATCCGGAATTCATACAACTCTCCTGTACTTGGAGAGCGTTGCTTCTTTTCTCTAATAGAGGAGTGTATGACAGCAAGTGTAAACCTTTTTGTGCCTGGTCATGCCCCGTCTCTTATATTTGACTATAGTCATGACTGTTATTAGTTTACAGTACCTTAAGGGTGCATGGCATATTGTCAAGTCTCCCTCTTGAAAATGTTTCAATTGCTAAATCACATACAGTGCAGATTCTTCCCTCACCCGCCCAAGATTATGGCTGAGAAATGAAAAAGTACAAACAAGTTTTTGTAATTCTTGCCTGCAGGAATGTTGTGTAGCAACCAATATCAGCACCCCCCATCCACACTGCGATGCAGCCTGCATGTATATTACATGTACCTCTGCTACCTTTTTTTAATCCTGATCCTACAGGCTTACTCCTGTGAGCAAGTGCAAAGTGACTACAAAGAACTACAGAAGGTGCAGGACAACAATCAGGCCCAGAACATCTATGCAAAAGTCTTATCACCTTCCTCCACTATTGCATAAAAAGCAAAAAGGTGCAAAGGCTGTGGCAGCTAGCACACTCCATCTATTTGCACTTCTCCAATGGTATTTGGCATGGAGCGGATCTCCTGAGAGAGCATCACATTGGAACCTTTCAGAGTCTGAACATGAGACTTGATTTAGAGTTTTCACATCTCAACTTTTCTACTTTGTTGGGGGGGGGGGAATAAGTTTGCTATGTGGATTCAGTTTTGTGGCGGGGCATTGCAACATATTCAAGGGTAAATGCAGATCACTCACAGACCAGCATATCTATTTCTAAGCATGTTGCAGGCACAATGGTTTGTTTAGCACAAACATCTTAGTTAGAGGTTTTTGAATAGATTTCCTTATAAAATGAATACAGTAGATGGCAAAAACATTTTTTTTAAATAACTACCTACTGTGTACTTTAAGGCAATTCAGAATATTCCCTTCTTTTTCCTGCAGCAGGACTATGCTATAACTAGTTACTTTTCCCCCCTATGAAACATTTATCTAAAGTTCAGCTGGTAACTTTGTTAGGCATCAGGCACAACAACTCATTCAAGAGGATAAGAAAGGAGATCTTATTAGCTTATGTCAGTGATCAGCTAAATGTATTTCAGATACTGTATTCATGGGTGTATTACCTTGAGGATCTGGAGAATAACAAGTTATTTGTGTAAATGCACACTTGCATTTGTGGGATATTTAAAAATAACTTCAGTTTTATTATTCCATATACTTATTGCCTTCAATAAGGCCCCGCTGCAGGGTTAAAATGATCCTAACAATTTACTACCTTCTCACCCACATAGAAAAGCAATGGTGAATAAGCCTAGGAACATAAATCTTTGCTGTTTCGTGAGGTAACCCAGCTGCCTGGTAATCTCACAGCTGTTACTGCCGTTGATAACACTTTCTATCACTCTGCCTCTCTCAAAACTGTCCCCCTGAACTGCTGCAGGTTCTGCCTAACCCTGGCTCAGGGTCTGAGCCCTTAGAAATCTTATTTACAAAATTCCAAAAAGAAAATGACAGCCTGATATTAAATACAATGGAACAGTGTTGATCAGACTGGGACACAGGCTTCAGTTCGACTGGATAAAAGGGACGTTTTCAGTGTAATAAAGTTATATAAGAGCAGGGCACTATCAGTAGATCTTTACAAAGGGAGGTCAGTATCATTATCCACAGTTTACATGTAGGGAAACTGAGGCACTGAGCGGTGAAGTGACATACCCAAGGTCACCCAGCAGAAAAGCTGAGCCTAGAACCCACATCTCCTGAGGATGAGGGGTTAAGGGTTACAATGGGCAGTAGAGATTCAGCCAAATAAGATTCCACTCCATCTCCCCTCGAGCTCTTTGGCCGGATGCGTTAATGGAGGAGGCTGTCCTGGGTTCCAATGCTCGTCGATGAAGGCGGCATGCTGTCAGAGGAAAAACACCAGGTCAAAAGCAAGAGGCTGCTGCCGCCAAGGAAATCGGCACTAAAGAGCAGAGGGAGGGAGGTAGAAAGTCCCCCAGCCTGTTCAGAAGCCAGTGTAGAGCAGACCCTTATTTCCTTGCAGGAGCCTTGTTTTGAAGGGCTGATTTTACCCAAACTCTTTTCTTGTAGGAAACCTCCATGCTAGAGCCATATCGCGTCCAATCCATAATCCAGCAACAACTAACACCTCAAAGCCCGGAGCTGCTCTTTCTGCTGCCTGACTTTGCCTCAAATTGACAGAGGAGGCTTTTTTTAAAACCAACTCCCCTGCCCCCCATCCCAGCCACTTACCAAGTGATTTGCTGTGATGGATTTCAGATGGACATGGTAGGTGCACACAGCTGGATATTGTTTTCAGCTCTTTTAAGTAAATCTCATCTTACTAAAGTAAAACATTCCTCTACCCCTTCTATAGCTTTACTTATAGAAAAACTACTGTAACACCTTTGCCCAAGTAAAAATAGCTGCTTGGAAAAAAACTGAATACAAAGAAACGTGTATTCACTAAAAGCAAACTAAATGGCATAATCTTGTCGGTGCTGTTAGTGTGCCCTTCCTAGACGTTCCTACTTTATAACCCGGGGTGTGTTGCCCAGGTGACGTCAATCAGGATTGACTTCACTTGATCTTCATCAGTTTACACGGGCTGAGGAACTGGCCCTTGCTTTTCCAGGAGTGTGTATGTTTACTACATGCATTTGGAACCGTTTATTTATTTCTCTTCCAGTAACTCAAGGTGGCTTAGCATATTTTTGTAAATGAATATCTGTGCACTTATACTCTAATGTAGAGACGTATCCTGCCCCTTTGAAGTCAAATGGGAGTTTTGCCAAAGAGTTGGCTGGGGTCAGGGTCAGGCTGTAGGTGATTTTGGTACTTTTTAAGGAGGATTTTATGTTTCATATTGTTCATTTTTGTTGTTTGACACAGAGATTGCCTACTGGGCAGGCAAGTTAGCTTCTTCCCATAATATTTTTAGTATGCATATATTTGTCCTAACTTTGTGACGTTTGAAACTATGCACCAGGGTGATACAATGCTTATTAGGAATGTACATAACAGACTGACAGAAGCAGAGGGACAGGGACGCTAGGTAGTCAGCAATAGGCATTTAAAGGAGAGGTACAATGAATGTTTTGGAAAATAAACAAGTTATTATGGGCCTGATCCAAAACCCTGTTGAAGTGAATGAGAAATTCCCTGCTGATGTCAATGGGCTATGGATCAAGTCCAAATGTGCTAAATCATTATTGTGGAAGATGTGGTAAATAATATCTTTTTATAATGTCTGGGAAGTTTAAGACGACAGAAATGGCGTTAAAATAACACACAGGTTTTGACCCACTAGCAAAGCTAAAAACCAGCATTCTGAGTGGTGTTCTCCATTGCCCCGCTCCTCCTGTAGTGACTTACAAGGGTACATATTGAATATACATTGGCACCAGTCTGACGCAGTAGCATTTCACGTCTTTACACTGATGTAAGTCAGGCTCACAGAGTAGAGCAACAGAGGATCAGACCCAGGACTTTTTGCTGGCAATTTTTAGTAACACCTATGACAGTGGTTCTCAAACTTTTGTACTGGTGACCCCTTTCACATAGTAAGCCGCTGAGTGCGACCTCCCCCCTTATAAATTAAAAACTCTTTTTTATATATTTAACACCATTATAAATGCTGGAGGCAAAGCGGGGTTTCGGGTGGAGGTTGACAGCTTGCAACCCCCTGAGCGGTCCTGACCCCCAGTTTGAGAACCCCTTACCTCAGAGAATTATAACAGCAAGATTCAAGGGAAAAGTGGGTGTTTCTCCATTCCTTCAGCTTGTCCTTCCAAGCAAATTGGATGTGTGCACTGAACTCCGATGGCCTCCTTTGACCGTCCCAGATGTTGTCTAGTCAGATGCACCTGACTGGTCAGGAAGACTGTGTGGAGGTCCATGGATGTCAATGGGGATCAGCCCAAGCCGTGCTCACTGCAGGGCAGAAGGGTGTGCGTGTAAAGTTTTGCCACATGGTCTCAAGAAAGAAAACACACTGTAATCGAAACAGGCGAATCTGATTGTTAACCCACCAAAATTGGCAGGGGGCGCACAGGGACAGGTGTAGGGTCCGAAACTATATGTTCATTAAACGAAGAAGGGGCATGTGTACCCAGGGTATTTACAGTCTGAAAATGCCTGCGTATATGCGATGCAATTCATTATTAATTGGAGCACACTTTAACTCCAGATTTATCACAATCTCTGGAGTCCTCTAAGGCTACTTCTGTACTTGAAGCTGTGGGTGTGATTGTGATGTGGGGGTGTGATTTTATATATATATATATATCTGCTAGCTCCCTTCGAGCTAGTGCACTATGAATAGTATGTAGCCGTAGTAGCATGATCAACAGCGAGCGGCAGCCTCACGTGCGTAGCCGTGGGATCCAGGCAGGTTTGTCACTGGGAGGCTGCCAGCCTCGCTGCTGCCCATGCTACTGTTTTTGGCGCACTTGCTCAATGAGAGCTAACGTGAGTGTGTCTACGGGAGCTGGGAATCACACCCCTTTGCTGCAAGTGTAGACACAGCCAAAGTGTGCTAAGTTGCAGGCAAGCTGACCGTGTCCCATTAAGGATTGCCGTAGTGGTCAATTGGGCAGTTTAAGAGCTTTAGGCTGGAGTTTTCAAACTTGAGAGACAGCTTATGGTTCAATGCCAATAGGGGACAGACCCAGCCTCAGTGGGTGAGAAATGTGAGCTGTCAAATCTACAAAACAAGCAGAGATTTGGGGGCTGGGGTGTTGGGAGAGTCTGGATGAAAGGGGAGAGTTGGAATAGTTTAAAATAAAGCAGCCGTTGGTATTTCCCAGCACTTGAATTCCACTGCGCTAGTCACCTTGCACATTACTGCATAGCCGTGGTGTCTAGGAACCCTGAACAAGGATGAGATGAGAGCCTTGTTGTGCTAGGTCTCATGCAGATAAAAGAGAGCCCACAGCCCAGGATTTTCAACTGAGCCTGTAGGAGTTAGGTGCTCAAATCCCATTTGGTCACCTAATTCCCTTATTTTCTTTTGAAAATCCCAGATGCGTTTAAATATTTGTAATGCCCTGAGCATGCACCAGTTTACACATCCACTTAATGTTACTCACACAAGCAGTTCTACTTGTCGTCAGTGGCAGAGCCTAAAAGAAAGAAGTAACCTTTGTTCATTTAAAAAACAAAAACAAAAAGTAAAATATTTGACCTATTGAATGAGAGGTTTATTCTCTGAACTAGTCATTCATTACATGGACAGCTTCAAACTCATCTTCCAACCCAAGGCTGGGAATTGAAATCGATATTAGAACCGTCAAAATAGGTTTGATCAAAACTGTGCGTTTATACTGTAGATGTATTTAGGTTGAGATTTTCAGTGTCGCCTGGGGATTTGGATGGCCAATTCCCATTAAAAATTGATGGATAGTATCACTGTTTACTGACTTCCTGTCTGCATCTAGGCCCTGATTCTGCAAAGTCTTACTTAGCTCAATGGGGCAACTCAGTTATTACTCAGTGTGAGTAAAGGGGGCAGAATCTGGCCCTTTTGTATGCTTGTCATGATTTGCTTTCAAAGAAGTTGTAATAAAATGATTCCGAGAACCAAGACACATGCAGTCTCTCAGGAGGAATGCAAGTTAAATACAGTTATGGAAGTTGCAACACTGTGTTATGAAACTAAATAAATACGTAGTATTGCTTATTTGACATATTCCCTACTGACGGGTGATATCCGTTGAACTAGAGTCAGTGAGGTGCTATTTATGTATTGAGAAGAAAGATGTAAGAAAAGTACAAAGGATGTGGAATCTAATAACTTATAAACAATTAATAAAGATCAGACTTATTATGGTAAAAAGCTTCCTGGTTTTATTTATATGTATAAATAAAATAATAGAAGGGAGACCAGATAATTGTTATAAAAATAAAAAACTCAATCTCCCAGGATCAAGCTGTTATCTTACTGTTTGCTAGTTTATATTTTTATTTTAAACTGCCTAGATGCTTTATGTACTTTGGGGGAAAATGCATCAGACCCTCCCCCTTCTTTTAAAGCCCCCAAGCCTTCAAGACTTACTAATGTACCTAACTTAAGTAGGTGACTAGCCTCATTGAACTCAGTGGAACTATTCAGAAGCTTAGAGTTAAATGGGTGCTTGAGTCTTTCCAGGATCGGGGCCTAAATGTAGATGCCGTGGTGATCAGCAATGCCTATATATTAAAAATGTGAAGAGACTAGCCAAATTCTGGTCTCACACACAAGCAAACTCACTGTGCCAAATTCCACATAAGCAGGTGCAATCCCACTGAGGTCTAAGAAGTCGCACCTATTTTGCACCAGCTCATTGACTAGGTTGTACAGATATAGCTGACAAGATTTGGCCCAAGACCCTTCAGGGCAAGCGTTTGTCTAGCTCTGTGGCTCAGTTCCTTCAAAGACTTATGCATGTGTTTAACTTCAGGCCTGGGAGTAGCCCCCATTTAAAATCAACTCCGGTCTACTGCAGTCGAGAGGAAATACTCACCTGCTGAAAGTTAAGCCCAGACATAAATCTTTGCAGGATCAAAGATGCTATGTTTGTGCAGCATCTAGCACAACTGGGACCTTTCTGTGTACCATAAATGTGCGTAATGGTTAAAGACTTGTCAGCTGAATGCTTGCATCTTCTTTCCACAGCATAAGGCATATTCAGCAGAACCTGGTCAAGCCTAAGAATTTGCCTAGAAAGTTCAGAAGCACAAGATGACAGACGAGCCCATCAAAGAGATTCTGGGAGCTCCAAAGCATCCTGAACCTGTAACGATGGAGAAGAGAAATAACAATGACTGTGTGGTAACCACTGTCCCTTTGGTCAGTGAGTGCCAGTTGACTGCAGCAACCGGAGGAGCGGAGCTGTCCTGTTACCGTTGCACTATCCCCTTTGGCGTGGTCATTCTTATAGCTGGAGTGGTGGTCACCGCCGTGGCATACAGTTTCAATTCCCACGGCTCAATCATCTCCGTGTTTGGACTGGTCCTCTTGTCATCCGGACTCCTCTTGCTGGCTTCTAGCGCCTTGTGCTGGAAAATCAGGCAACAGCACAAGAAAGCCAAAAGGCGGGAGAGTCAGACAGCGCTTGTGGCCAATCAGAGAAGCTTGTTTGGTTAGAGAGACTACCAGGAAAACGTCGAACAGAAGAGAGCTCCCTTGTAAGTCAATTTGACTATTTATTGATAAGTCAGACCGCAGAAGGTTTTTGACTGGATTGGAATGAAAATGGGTTGGATTGAGAGACTCTAGGAGCATCTTTGGAATTGTTAGTATCTGTCTTTTCACTGACTTACAAAAAGTGCTATTTCTTCCAAGACCGAGGGGGAAAAAAGGTGGATTTTTTTTTTTCCCTTCACAGAAAACAAAAATTTGTCCTAACTGCAGTCGAGAGAATTAGTCAACACTCAGATACTATTGGAAAGGGAGCCCGGTTAACAAACAAGAAAATAACTTAACCCGATCTGATGTGCCAGAAACCTGCTTAAAAATATTACGCACTGTGAGGTCTGACCAAGGGAGGAGTTGTAGCATTTGAACAGATGACAAAAAAAAAAAAAACCCATGTGGCTAGATTGCCTTTGACTTACGTTGTTCTAGGGAAAAACAAACAAACATGAAAAAAACAACTGTGATTGTTTAATAAGCTGATGTGAGGATGGCAGGTCATTTGGGTTTGTTCCTATGAGTTATCAGTGGTACTTTTTTTTAAAAAAAACAGTAATATTAAACTTGTTTTACTATTGAATAGAGGTAGGTAGCTATCTGTAATTATATTTGTCCAACATAAATAACGAGGTATGAGTATAGCTTAAAAAAAGTGAGTTTTTTGTAAATTAAAGTGGTCAGATTTAGCACTTTTGATGATTTTGATAAAAAAAAAGATTTAAAATGTACATTTCATTTAAAATAATAAACATTCAGTGCTGCTAGAGCGTTAGAAAGTCTGGCATTTTTCATTGTGATCAGGACAGCTTGTCCTTCCAGCTTCCATCCCAGAGCGTCACGATCTTCTTTTCACAGCATCCCTTTGTAGAGCAATAGTTGTGCTAATAATTTTGAACACAGACTGCCCGTCTCGTCTATACTTACAAAGCCTATGCGTGATCTGAGGAGTTTTCCTTATTTACGTCTTCAGTAAAGATGGAGCTACATCAAAATTATAAGGCTCAGTCCTACGAAGACTTATGCATGTCAGCAATAGTGTTTGTACTATGACGTCGATGGGGTTACTCACATGTTACTCATGTACATAAATATATGCGGGATCAGCCTCATAATTACCACTCTGTTTTGATACGTAGGGCGCAATCCTGCAGATACTCAATACCAGCTGTAGTGGTCAGCACCACAAGTAGATCCATTGGTGTCATTGGATCTACTCCCACTAGCAAGCACTGCACCTGGGACTGTTTGTACGATGTGTGGTATTCTATGGTCACTCAGTGCTTAAGGTGCTTGCAAGAGCACTGCTTTATTCGGTGTCTGGTTCCAACTGGCTGTCCATAACAGGAGCGTCACTCAATCCTGCCCGGACTCTGTCTGAGAGGCACAGCCCCTAATACTATGCAGTGGAGCTCAGAATTAAAACAAAATACCCTTTTACATTATCTTGCATTCTCCAGATGCGTGTGGATGTAGAGGGGGGGAAAAAAGATTTCTATATTTTATAGTTGTATGGACAACATCTAGTAGAGTTAGGGTAGGGCCCTCATTTAGGAAAGCACCCCCATTCAGTATTGCATTTAAGCACCCATTTAAATGCTGTCCTGAATAGGGTTGGACTTACGCACGAGCTTAAATGCCTTCAAAAATGAGGAAAAACAAAGATTTGACTGACTACACACAGCAAGCAGATTTGTGGACTAAGAAGGTGCCATTTTTACACAGTCCCTTTGGTCAGCCCTCTAACCTTAACTGTTCATCTAGAGATCCAAGGCCTTTGCAAGAAAGGAGATCAAATGCAATCTACTGCTTTAAAAAGCAGCTTGCACCACTGAAAAGACTGAAGCAAAACAGGATTGTAACTGAAGACTACACTGTTTTTACAGCAGTAAGTAAAGACTCTGCAGTCGGTTTTTATTTGGCACGCTGTTCCCTTCTGAGTTAATAGAATATTTTTACAGGCTGTAGCCTTGCAAACAATTTTTTGGTCATTATTCATGGCAGGCAAACACTGGCAACTTAATCACCGATAACTGGCAAGATCTGCCATCAACTACAGGCTCAGGTTACACAAAATCATTTTCTGTTCAAAACTGGGTGAAACACAGACCATTTCTGGCGCATTTGTCCCACTGGCACAGCTCTGTGCTCTGAAATGCTTTATCTTCCAAGGTTGTCTTGCTCCATTGGTTAATTGGGTGGGTTGATCCAGAAGGAAAGCAAAATGAAACATTTTCAAGTGATAGCATGAAAGATAAATGCAGATGACTTTCCATCTAGGACCAACGTGAGAGCCCTGATCCACATCTTCTCTTGAAGCTAATGGCAGATCTGTTTGCCTGAAAGACAGGTTGCAGTATCAGGCACTTACAGTTCAATGGGCAGAATTTTCATTTTTTTGTGAGACCCAAGTGGCTGAAATGGGCTTGAAAATGGCAACCAGAAGTCAGCTAGGACTGGAGTGTTGGTCAAGACAAAGGCAAACATTGGGAAGGGGAAACGACAGGGTGAGAGGCACTACCAGGGATGGCCCTAGGTGTTTTGAAGGCCAGGGTGGAAAATGTTTTTAGTGCCCTCTCCCTGCCTGACAGCAGCCAAGCAGCACAACAGAATGGCATTGGAGGCCAGGGTGACCACCCTTCTCACCCAGCCCCTGGTCACTGTAACCAACATAATGGGCTAAATTCTGCTAAAATCCCATTAAAGTCATTGGGCTGTAACTGAACAAGTGCCTCAATCTACTTGCTAAAGAGGAGCGAGTTCGTAGGTAGGCCTTTCCCCCTCAAATGCATCTGCACAAGGGCCTGGCATGATCCCATTCCTTCCCACATACCCTCATCTCCCTGCATGCCAGGATGGCTTCATAGATGGGAGCACTGACTACACCTGTTGAACAGGTGCAGTAAGGGGAATCCCTCCCCAGGCACTGTCTGGCCTGGGAGTGATCGTGGCTTGATACCACCCAGGCACTGTGGCTTGAGTGCTTTCTTCCCCTCCTCCCCAGCAGGGCTTATGCTTCTAAACTCCCTAATTTATCTGGGGACTTGTGAAGCGCACGTTGTGTTTTAAATAGAGCAGGCTCTACATGTGGGAGGGGATGTTTGGAGTCAGTATTTGCGTTGCTACACTCCGTGGTTACTTGACACGATAATAAAACTGCTTGCATCAGAGGAAAGCTGACAACACATTTTAGCACTTTCATAGCACCAACTTAATCACGGCAGGAAGCTTTCCTGCTACTGGGAGAACATGTTGCGTCACCAGAACATCTGACACTGGGTGTCCAATGTCAATCACTTTGCTTAAGGTCATTAAAAAATATTAGGGTGTCCCCTTACAATATAAAGCCTTTGCATGAGTGACAATTAACAGGAAACACCGAGCATGCTAAATAACTGAACAGGTGCATTCAAGAAGTGTCTTTCCTGGTTAAAAATGAGAAAAGTGATTTGACATCAGCGCAGCTGGGGGGGCCTGGTCAAACACCGCTCTAATAGGCCTGCCAAGTGGGTGTCCTGGGAAATAAAATCATTTTTCTGCCCCTTTTTTGAAAGTGGAGTTTTGTGGATGGCAGTGAAGGGAATGGCTTCATCTGGAGTCTGGGTCACTAGGGTAACTCAGCAGCTTCTTAAGTGAAATCTGGCAAAGCGCAGTTATAGAACTGGTGCGTGAAGAGACCCAGGCCTCTCACCCTCCGCAGCAGAGTTCTTTCAAGGTATAGATGCTCTCTTGGAGACACTACTGTATCAACGAGTGAGCTTGCATGCGGCACACAGGGGATGAAAGCAAATTAGAAATGCAAACTAGGCTAGGACCCGAGACCATAAAAGGCCAAATTCAATGGTGTTTAAATGAATGGGGCTGGATGGGGGTAAGTGAGGGCACATTTTGACCATAGGAGTTTATACAGAGGCAGAATTTTCCTTTGTGATCAGCCTGGCAAACCTCTACTGCCTATTCTATTCTCTCCCGTGTGAGTAATTCCCACTGATGTCAATGGGAGATCTGCACCTGCATGGCGGGAGCAGGCTGCTTGTGCCAGTGTCTGCATTGCTACTAAGAGGGGCAGTTAGACCTTACCCTTTTGGGAGACAATGGTGGACAGCAGAACTCAGCAATCGCCCAGGCAGTGTGAGAAGGTACATAGCATCATCTGGTGAGAGGAAGTGGATCTAATGCTCTGTAGCATGATTACAGGGAACAGTTTCTTCCCTATTTCTCCTTACTTTGGGCAAGGAAAATGATAGTACCCTGGAAAAACAAGCCCCTTAGTCTGGTCCCATTCAGAAGTGAGACAGAGTTTATCGGGGGATTGGTCCGAGGACTCCTGCCGTTGCCTGGAAGTTCTAGGTTCTGTTCCCTGTTTTATCACGGATGCACTGTATGTGTTTGGCCTAGAGATTAGTGCACCCTTTGCCAAAAAGTGGCTGTTGGTTTTGGGTGCCTCCGTTTTGGGGCAGTTTGAGGTATATGTCGGTAACACACGTTGCACGTCCAAAGATAAAGGCACACAAGCGTGTGACCACTTTTGAAAAGCTTGTCCTCAGCCTCCCTCTAGGCTTGCTACCCATCTGTAAAATGGAGATGATACCTACCCACCACAAGTGGCAATACTCGACTAACTGATGCTGTTGAAAGGGCTGTGAGGGCCCTCCGTGGCAAGGGCTAGGGAAGGCCGCAGTGTTGTTATTACTTTCACTATACCAGAAAATGAGGATACCACATTCAAGTAGAGCTGAACTTCTGTGACGAAACCAAATCTGTAATAAGTGAACCCCCACAAACCAGGAAGCTGCAAACACAAAACGCAGCCTATGTGTGACAGAAACATTGCTGAGGTCCATGAGCTAATCAGGATTTGATGTACGGTGTCATGCCAAAGTCATGCAGTCCCCATGGTTTTGCATCAAAACCATTTGAAACGCAACAATTTCCACTGAATTCCACTTGGCATTTTTCATTAGAAATCCAGAACTCAGGGTGCAGCCCCCCTCGGAGATCAACATTAGCTTCCAGATAAAATGCCTTCCCTTCCTGTATGAAAAGACGTTGAATGCAACAGATGCTACTTCAGTTTTGGGTGAGGTTGTGTTGGAGTTAATGCAAATTTTATTGTCTCAACTGCTTGTCTCTCCCTTCCTGAAAGCTCTGGCAGCATCACACAAGAAAAAAGTTGCCTTCACACAGATAGAAAATTATCTAATGGGGAATTGCTCTGGTGCACCAGGCAAACACTATGGGGATCTTAAATAATAATGTAAAAATCCAAGTACAGGAAACTGTGTCTGTAACTATACCCTGTATTGCTAGTGTACGCAACGCCTGGAGTCACCAGGTGATTTGTTATCTTAGGACTTTGCCACTTTAACGGCGTTGCCATAAATAAAGCAGCACACCCCCCTATTTGGATGCCGTTACCCTAGTATAAAAGTGCTTATAATACCATAGCTTATTCCAGTTTGGGAGCTGAAATAAACTACACTGGTATAAGATTGCTTTATTCTAGTTTAACGGCATCCACACTAGGGTTTTACAGGTATA